GAATATGCACCAGTTTGACTTGTCTGGTATGCATTAAATATGTTTTTTGGTTTTTTAGACAATGTTATTGAATCCCACTCCTACTATTTGTCAATCACAATTTATGCTATAAAAGTCCGCATTAACTGAAGGAAATGGTGCATTACTTGGATATTGGATTGTCATGCCCTTTGGTGCACATTTCCACATGGACACAGCAGTGTTACGCCAAATCTTCGCCATCCCCAGTTCTTGCCTTGATGCGGCCTCCAAAAGAATGGCACATGTACTTTTAAGATGATCTTCGATAGTTTAGTTTATGGTAGCCTTAATGACGACAAAAATCGACGAGCCCCTGATTTTGCGGCTGTGTTCATGAGTACCTGCCTCGACGAAAACTCTAACTTGGCATCCTGATGAGTTCAAGGCAGAAGAACAGTGCATCTAAGTGTTAGGAAGTGGGATGATTATGGATGTTTCCTGTTATCTACTAATTGCATCGAAAAGAAGAAGCCGTCCTTCTTGAAATCGTAACACCGTTTACGGATTTTCCTTAATGCATGGCTTTGCAACTTTTGCTCGGTGTTTCGATGTAGATGCATTAATGCTGAGTAGATATGGTGTCCTCATCGCTCCTCACCTTGTCCGAAGTCCACGACATCGATAGGTGTCCAATGCAAAGCTATCACGCAGTCTTGATGCTCTTCCTTTCAATTCTTAATTTCCAACAGAAATTACGAGGGTTTGTCGAGCTCCATAGGATGTTTATCGTTTCGCATCCTAGATATTCCCTTGACTAAAAGAACTTTTCCCGTATTTTTACTTGTAAACGCTCCTCTTACCATATTTCAGGATTTTAATTGAAATATTAAAATAAACTTAAAAATGCAATAAACTCTGGACTCTTGTACTCAAATCCTTTAGTTGATTAGCAATGGTCTCTATTTACTTGGTACGCCTACTGCTAATGGTGATCTAGGCGTTTTCGGTATTTTCACATTGCTAAGAACACGATGCCTCTGTTATTTTTGGTGGTGGTGGTGACTAAGGTGACGAGAACGGCGTCTTTCGTATGTTGTTACATGTAAGACTGGATAGTTGAGTAGTACGATGCATGGCAGGGGCAGAACACGAAACCGGGCAGCAAAACACTTTGAGCGGGAAGCCACGTTTATTCAATATATCGCGGTTCTACTTCTATGGAATTTACAAGAAAATGCAATGCTAATGACCAGATGAGAAACCGATCCTACGGAGCGGCATTAGCATCGGCAATGCAGTCGAACCAAGTGCTATTTGGTAACCCAACACGGAGGCGATGGAGGTAACAGTGTTAGAAACGGAAGAAAAGAAAAAGGGGCAAAACACAAAATGGATAATGAGTGCAGTTAGAGATCTACACCTCTGGTAACCCTTATGGCGACGGAAGCTCTCAGGATGTGTCAGAAAGGGATCAAAGCTACTTAGGGCTTAGCTGTCTTGTGTTTTGTAAACTTCTCAATCAACTTCTTACTATCTTGCCAAACGAATTTTGGGCTATCTACGTATGATCTATTAATTTGTCGCTGATATTGTCCTTCGTTCCTTCCTCTTAAAAGACTCAGCGAGGGTCCGCTAGAGCTGTTAACGGAGAATTCAATGCGGGTGGAAGAGGTGGAGGAGCTACTGCAACGCTCAGACCACAATGGCTTTCCAGTGGTGGAGTCCCTCACCTCTCGCCATCTCGTCGGCTTCGTATCACGCACAGATCTCGTCAGAGCTCTCGGTAGACACTCCTCCCTGCCTCTAACCATCAAATGCTTTTGTTGATTTTACCTGCTTTGAAAGGCTATCACTTTTTGACGCATTAACCACTTTTTGTGGAGATCAAATCAGGAAGCTTCATTCTTGGAGAATGAATAGCATAGATATACAATAACAAATGAACAAATAAGTTCCACATTGCATGAGATTTCTACTAGTTTTATTGACTTCTTTTAGGGCAAATCATATAGTCTTGCTTCGAACAGAGGGGTGTTGTTGCACACTCATTTGTAAATCTATTTCATCAGATCAACTCCAAATTATTCCATGGATCAGTCATTATTATTGAAATTTTTCATCCCCATCAATCCGGTTTGTGGTTTGTCCTCTTCCCACTCCCCTGTAGATCTCCATCGGCCACATTCCTTGCGTAGGCACGGCGTTAAATCAATCGTCTGCTTCACCGATCGAGCACCCCTCCTGGATCCAAGTAACCGATTGGATACCCCCGAAGACTTTCCTCTTCTGGTTGATGTTCGAAATGTTGTCGATCTGGTGAGTAATCCAGTCAGCGGTGCACTAACTTCATGCCCTTATCGCACTCATGTCTGATTCTAATGTCCTTATTTTTATTCTACCTAGTCTCCCACAACCCTAACCCAAGCGACCCCGGCGTCGACGATTTTCGATGTGTTTAAGAGCCTTGGCCTCCGGCAGGTCCTGGTGACTCATCTTGGGTAGGTTGCCCCACTTCCACTCCGTCATGATATTCAGAGCCAAGTGCTTTCAACGCTCATCTTGACTTTGCTTTCCCCCTAGGCGCGTCACTGGTATCATAACGAAGAAGGATGTCCTACGGTTCCTGGATGACTGTTAAACCCTTTCATTAATGACAAAAACGATAGAAAAATCAGCGTTTATCTATTTCCCTCTCCTCTCACTGTGATAGTAAACCACACCTACTCCTCATCACAGCCACCTATAATTGTTGCATCCCGAGAGCAATACAAACGGACGGCTCATTACTGTGCAGCTCCTGTTCCACACTCGAAAAATGCGGCAAACTCAGATCGAGCTGCCGGACAAGGGGAGGGACATGCCTCAGTAGGTGTAAGCATGCGATTCGAAATGGACTTTAGTGAACTCCTCCTGCCCAGGAAAGCCGATGGTACAACCAAGAAAAATTAGAATGACTGAGGGTAGAGAACTCCTCATTAAAGTGCCAGAGATGAACCGTGAAATACGACATCAAAATGGGAGCAGTCACCGCAACTCCATCAGCAATCCACCGCATGCGACACGACTCCTGACTTGTCATTGAAACAGCTCAGGCAAACAGTTCGCTCTGGCTGGCCCTGCAGAGCTATAACGTGTAAATTGCTCTAGCCCTCTCCCCTAAGCCACTGGATTCCGAGACTCAATGGTCCACAGTTTCCTGCCCAAACCCCCGTATAAGACGCGTCCAGAGACTAGGGTCTGTTCCCTGTTACCTTCAGAGTACTATGAGCGGACGCAGTCCAGGGTGCCACAGGAGTATCAAAAATAGGGCTACCAATACGTCAACATACGTATCAAATCAAGTACGGTGGTAGACAAGAAAGGAAGGACTCCAAATTAGTAACTACATGTATAATATTAGTGATAATAATACAAAATAACATCCCCTGTAGAAGCACAAGTACGATGCGGTTTGAAACAACATAGCACTAGGGGCAAGCAATCGGTCTAAAACTCTTGAGACTGAGTTTTCTTTGCATCATCCGAGCTGGTCTTTTTGGGAAGCAGGACGCTTTGAATATTTGGCAGAACGCCACCCTGAGCAATGGTTACACTACTAAGCAGCTTGTTAAGCTCCTCGTCATTTCTGATGGCTAGCTGAAGATGACGTGGAACAATTCGAGTCTTTTTATTATCCCGTGCCGCGTTGCCGGCAAGTTCGAGCACCTCAGCAGCAAGGTACTCCATCACGGCAGCCAAATAGACAGGAGCGCCAGCACCAACGCGTTCCGCATAGTTCCCCTTTCGAAGGAGCCGATGAACCCTGCCAACAGGGAATTGAAGACCAGCCCTTATAGAACGGGACTTATGATTCTTTGCACCGGATTTCTTCCCTTTTCCACGGCCAGACATCAGCCCAGTAAGTCAAAATTTGAAGTTGTGGGGAGCCAGCCCTGTTCGTGTAATCAAAGGACTAAAACAAGCAATTTTGTGGAGTTAATGCTACCGAAGCGGTTTCAGCAGAACCGAGAAATAATTGTCAGTGGAATAGTGCGCTATGTTTTAAAAACACATAAAATTATAAGAAAAGGATAGAAAAGTTTGATCATTTAGCAAGTAAAAATGTTCGAAGAAATGCGATTTCGCTGCTAGGGCCATAAAACTTTATAAAGGACAAAGAAGGAGCAACAATGATCTCACCTAACACTTAAGTATTTTACCAATTATTTAACAAAAGTGAAAAAACTGCAAGCAGTCGGTCAATTGGTAAAAATAGGCACTCGGAAAATGCCTACTACATGTTCTTAAAGAAGAGGGTTAATTTTCTGACCAAGCAAGTACTTGAACACAGCTCTTACAAAAGTAGCTTTCTGCAGAAATATTCGATTCCCCTCATTTACATGTTCACAACTTCTTAAGCAATTTAAATGCCATTCTTCCTTTTTTCGCCATGAATAAGTTTATTAAGATTGCTTGAGGTTAATATTATTTTTCCTTTTAAAAACTCCTTTTTAGATTTTATTGTATGATAAGTAAGGGTCTTCGTCTTGTAAGTGTTTAAGGTGTAACGCAATTACATTACATTTAATTTTTTGTTTTAACTACCCCGTTTTATGCCGCACCAACCTAAGACCTCGGACTCTTCTTTGTCTTGCGATTGTTTGTGCTTGTAAGTACTGGTGTCTCTGATCTTATTTATTTGCTCCTGTTTCCTAACCACTATTTAGCGCTTGTGCTTTATTTGTGCCTTTGGAGTAGTCGTCCTAAATATCATTCCTGAATCTATTTTGTAGCATAACATTTTCACCAAATCTTTGGAAATGTTGCGGTATATCAGATTTTCGTCAGCCTTTTTTGACCTTTCCTGTAGTCTTGCGTAATATTTGCTGTGTAGTACAATAGTTTTTGTGACGCCGAATAACCATTTAATATATTTTTTTGAATCTGAAAGCCTATGTGATGCTTCAAGTAGGTCATTCAATCACCATTGTTCACCGTACGAACACAGCATCTGCTGACTGCACTTTTTAGTGTTGCCTGTGTATCTGCGTTTTTGTGTTCTAGCTATAATCCGGTTTTTTGGTATTTTAGATGGATAGGGATACTTGCATCCCAGAAACTCGTGTTAGGATCGATCTTCCAGGTACTTTTTTTATCTACTATTTATGTTTCGTTGTATTTAGAAGAAGCATATTCAGCATCCCAGTCAAAACAAGGACCTGTTGAAGGGGATACACGAATTAGGTTTGATAAATTTGGCTCTCTTAATCAATTGCCACCTGGAGTTCGTCAACATTCCAACCTTTACCATGCCTTCCCTGGCGTCCAATCCATTGCTAACTCCACTCCAATTCTATCCTGCCCACCTCCCAGAGTATTGTCCTCCAAGGGCAAATCTCAAAGCTCCGGTTTCCTTCCGTCCATGTCAATCACTAACGGGGTGTCTGCGCATGTACACGCATCCAACACTCATGCTGAAATTTCCAACACTGACTACTCACCTAAATCTACTGTAACCGCCCTTGCCAGTGGGAAGGAAGCTCCTATCTCTTCCAACTATATCGCGCAGGATCGAGCATCCAGCCCAGATGAGCTGACTTGCGATTCGGGCTTGGATGATCTATCCCTTGCTGAGGAGGATAGACTAAGACTCCATGCTGCCTGTCTCGAAGGTCGTCTGTCTGTCTATGGACGTGAGGCGGAAACCTGGCTTCGAGAGCGTGCTGAGCTCTCTACGGAGGCCGCCTCTCTGCGCAAGCGCCTTGAGGCTGCAAAATCAACTCTCACTGAGGTGCAGACGCAGTCAGATCAGAGGGTAACAGAGGCTATGAACAAATCACGCGAGGCACAGGAATCGTTGCGTCATGTACAGGAACAACTGAGTCTCAAGACTCTAGAAAATGAACAACTCTCCGCAAATCTTACCGCTGCCCAACAGGACTCAATCTATCTCAAATCTCAACTCGCCGATGTTCAGCAAAACAGCGTAGCGAAGGATCAGGCTCTGGCCAGTTTGCGGGAAAAGATGTCCGAGCTTTATGCGGACATGGAGTCCATACGAATGGCTCACTCACAGGCGCTAGACAATAAAACAGACCTGACTGCTGAGTTGGCTAGTCTGAGGCGTTCACAGGAGTGGTATAGGGAACAGCTGCAGTTAACAGAAGCGGCACGAGATAGGCTGATGGAACAGTTGAATTCCATGCGAAAGTGGTTGGATCAGAGTGGAACGTCGGCACAACAGTTAGCGCAAGAAAATGCTCGTCTAGAGACCAAGGTCATGTCAGGCGAGGCTGCTTTAGCAGAGGCAAAGCGAAACCTTTCCCATGAGTTGGAAGCGATACGCGCCGATATCTTGGAAAGGGAGGCTATTTTCGAGAAGATTGTGGCCGAGCGCGCTGATCTAGAGGCGTTATGTCGACAGAAAAGTCACCAAATCACTGAATGTCAAAGTCGCATATCCACTTTGCAGTCTGATTTGAGTGAAACAGAAATGGAGGTGTCGGAACTTCGTTCATCGCTGGATCATTTCAGACACACACTGCAGTGTGTTGAAACGGAGAGGGATAATTTGCGCGCAACTGTTAATGGTCTGGAGGCTCAAATGAATCAACAGAAGGCCTTAATGGACCAACAGTTGGCGCAGTACAAAGACGTCTGTTCAAAATTGACACGTCTTGAGGATAGTAGCTACGAGCAAGCAGGCAATCTTAACAGAGCACTTGAAGAGAAAGCAGCTCTAGAGAGCTCTTTGACTGCAATTTACAAAGAGAAGGCCACTCTTGACGCCTGTCTCAATCAACTGAAGGAAGATATGTCTCGCGTTGAGTCCAACTTTTCTGCCCTCCAATGTGAACTGGATTCAAAAAACTCCGAGCTTTCAAATGTCCTCCTTATTCGTGATGAACTCTCAAATGATTTGGAGGTGCTACAAGCAGCACTTCATGAAAAGGGGGAAAAAGTTAAGGAGCTAGAAAGTGAGCGTGAGCAGCTGCAGAATGCCTCCTTGTCCTTGCAGTTAGAGAATGAGGGTTTACGAGACGATATCAAGCGCCTGGAGGCTTCTATTGCTCCCGCCTGCGAAGAGGCAGCCAGTAAAGCTCGTGAGCCCCTCATAACTGAGATAGAGAGAATAAATTCTCAATCAGAGGCTCTTCAAACCGAACTTAAGGGTGTGCGTGAACAGGTTGCGAGCTTGCTAGTTGATCAGGAGCGTTACTGTGCCCTCCTGACCACTCATCGAGCATTGCAGCAGCAATATGATGCTCTTAGTTCCGCTTACACTGCTTCCATGGAAGAAGCTAATGCGAAGCAGACAGATTTGTGTCAACGTCTGCAACAAGTTGAGGCTTCGTACTCTCAAGCACTGCTCACAAAGTCGTCGGAGATAGACTCACTCACCCATCAGCTGGATGAAAAGGTTAAGGATGCCCTAGCATTACAATCAGAAATTGCTTCACTGAAGGTGAGCCATCAGCAGTCGATGGCTCAACAAGCTGCCGACTGGGCTCAGCAACTTTCCAGCCTCGAGTCCCGCCTACACGCGGCGGAATCGCAACGGGCTGCGATTGAGCAAAAACTGCAGGAGGTTTTGGAGCGTGAAAGAAACACGAACGCGAAGCAGCAGGCAGAGATGGAGGTCCTCCGCGCCGAGGTGGCAAAAATGGAGTCGCGCGTTTCCAAGTCTGAGGCCCTGGAAGCGAAGCACCGGCAATTGATGCACGAGTTGGAGGCAGCTAAGGGGCGTGAAATGGGTCTTTCGGACACTGTGGAAGATTTGAAGCGCCACACGGCCAGCCTCGAGACCACACTATCCCAACGCGAGGTGGAGATTGTGGAACTATCTGAGCGAATGGAGAAGTCTTCTATGTCACCAGCGGCGGTGGAAACGGAGGTTCCAATTCAGCCGGTGTGTGTACAACAGGAGCTGGCTGCAGCCCTAGTTCCGGTACCGTGCTCCACCTGCCAGATTCTTTCAGCCGAGGTTGTAATTCATTCAGAAGCCGTGAGCCGGATGCAGACGGAGCTGGCGAAGGTGCAGGCGGCGCTGGAGTTGGCAAGGCAGGAGTTAGCCGCGCAGTCAGCTAAGACGGCCAATGAAGCGTTCGGTCGGCAACAGGCCTGTGAGGCACAGAGACGGGCGGTGCAGGAGGCGGAGCGGCTGAGACACGAATTAACGGAGGCACAGCAGCAGCTGTCAGATGCCAAACACATTGCTAGCATTGCGCAGGCTAATGTTGCCACTCTGACGACGCATTTGAATTCTAACGATAGGTCGACTTCGTCTGAGGTTCACGCACTACAGGAGGCCATGCAAGTGAGTGGATCACGCATATCCTTACTCTCTCTTAACATTCTGTTTCTTATAGTTTTTGAGGGTGTTATGGCTGTTGAGTTACCTTTGTTTACATCGAGACGTCTGTGGACCTCTTATCGGATTTTACGTAGACGCGTAGGCGGGTTGAGACCAGTAGGATAGATGGAGTAAATAAAGAACAGATGTCATTTGCCCTTGCGCTGCTGGTAACTGCTTTCATACGTCAAAATAGTAACAGTATTGGATTGAATTAAAATCATTGTTTAAAAAGGAGCAAAATACCCTAGTTTCCTACGCACACTGGGACGAATGGCCCCCAGTGATAGTGGTGTATCTCTTAGATTTCGAAGAGGTTTAAATATTGCACTAACCGTCGGCAATCTACGTTGAATGGTTTGCTTTAGTAGTATCGTTTGGTACTGAAGATGTTAGACAGTGATTAGCACATTCTGCGTATCATTTGCTTTTTGTGGAATTATATGCACACCATATTATTAGTTCTCTGAAGCTTCGTCTTAATTCCTATTTTGACTTTGCCCGGTCATTTGTTTGGAGAAATTATATGAACTGTACCCCATATGGAAAATTAGGAATTTGCTTTGTCATTATTTTCCCCGGCACAAAGTCGGTTCTCCTGTTAAGTCCTTACAAAATCAGTCGTCCACAACACGAGCAGCTAAACGATCCGCGTAACCATAGGCCTTTTATGCGGCGAAAGTGAGGGCACTAGTATTCTTGGGCGAGTGTGGAATATGTTGCCAATATCTCACTAAACAACAACCAATTTAGTGGGATGGCTATTCTTCTTCAAAAGATAATAAGACCTGTGAGTCTAGAAGTGACTTTTTTACCATCCGGCAAAGGAGCTGGTACAGTTGTTGAATTTGATTAAAACGAATCGAAGGCAATAAGGTGACATAGCGTTGGGTTACAAAAATCCTCTTTACTATTAATTCCATCGGTGGCCATAAATTTGGTAATTCCTTTGTTCCATTTTTCGGACTAATTTGATTGCTGAAATGTTTGCCGAGGAAGTGATCCTCGCCTTCGCTTCCGTTTGACTTGTCCTCTTCTCTGAAGATTTTCTGTTTATCCGTTTTTAAACAATGAAATTCGTGCTCTGGGTAATTTTTTTCCTGAATTGCCTTGTAAATAGCAAAATGAAGTAACAAAGCCAATGTTTTACCTATGTGTTCATTTATTTACCTTTGACATTGGTCGCCAATGCCTCCAGTTTACGAGCTGTAGTGTGTGTTAGTGTAGTTGCTTTACATGTGGGGCAAATACGAGATCTTAAGAATTTCCGTTGTTTAAAATACCTTAGATCGATGCGAAATAGTTTGTTTTCTCCCATGTTTGTAACAATGAGCCATTTCAAACCAAGAATCCCTGCCTACACTGTTTTTTTTGCGTTAGGTCATGAAGAGACATCTGGAAGAACTGAAACGAGAGCTGGCAGAAACAAAACAGGAGTCCTGGCACTACCAGTCCAATCTCTCGGACCTTCGTGGCTCACTACGCGGTCTAATTGAGAAAAGTCAGGTGTTTGGCAGCGACGACCCGTCCTCCACCTCTCTCGCTGCCACCGCTGGTGCAGCAGGCTCCACTCCGGTCTACATCAACGTGGTGGGAGTTTCTGAGTTAGAGAAGCTGCTCGTAGATCGGGCTGACAATGCTCTTTTGGACAGCAAGTAAGCCCTTTTCCGATATGCGTTCTAGTCTCTGGCAATGAATGATTATGTAGTGGCGTTTTTTGCGTTACTGTGGTGCGGTCGAGCAACGGCCGTGGTGGTGGTGGTTTGAGCACTTGACTCAATTTGACCTGATTCCTCACTTTTGTTTCATCATATTTGTAGGGCTTGAGTTGTAACTGAAGACGTTTTAAGTTGAGCGAGCACAAACATGGCTTTATTATCAACTTGGGGAATGGCTGGGGGACCAGTAGCATAGCTTCACATCGAATGGCAGGGGGACTGTGAGGGCCCGCGGAAACTATGGTCAAGATGTCACTCACATAATCCCATTCGGACTTGTTCATTTCCTTTGCCACTGGTAAATATGTGCAAAATAAAGGAGGTCTTTTACGAATAACCATTGCGTGATGTTCACTTGTACACTCTCACTTTTCCAGTCCGTTTCCGACGTTACAATAGAATTGATGGTGCAACCTTTCATTTGTGGTTGGTGCTCCATTACTTCTCACCTACCACGTGATATAAATTTGTAAGCTAGAGTGGGGTGGTACTTCTTTACTTCTTCTTTCACCTTGTATGCATTGAGCAATCCATTGTTGTTATTTTTTACTTATTTCAACTTGAAAAAAAAAGTGAAATTCATTCCTCTTCTATCAATGGTTTTACAGCGCCTAGTTTTCAAAAGGTTATCATCGATGATTCATCTTCATTACTTTGAGTTTTTAGCTCATTAGTTTTAACGAAACCAATTTAGATTTCCCGCATGGGCGGCTTGCTTTCAGGCTTGGCCTTACCCACCAGGGAAAAAGTTCTGACTTAAACCATCCATTGATGTACGGCGTGTTTTTTAACTAACCGTGCCCTCCTTCTATCAAGCACTTCATTAGGGATATCTGTGTTGTTGTACTAGATTCGTAACGGAATTCATATTTGTAAGTAAGGTAAATGCTCTCGTATTTACTCGCAACGTATCAATCATTCTCTGAGCAGGAGAATGATTTTGAAGGTTAACCAAAAATTAGCGGTGTTATTCCGTCTTCATAGTGCGTACCAAACATCGAAACGAAGGCAGCGTTGAGCCGGGCAGACTGGAGCTGACAATCTTATCTTTTTTTCATGAAAACCAAAATTTTAACCTAATCGATTGTTCTATTTTTTAGGCCTCTGTTACGTGTCAGCAGTTATTTGAATCGCCTACAACAGGAAATCGACTCGCTGGAGAGCCAGGTTATTCATCACGCCACTGTGGTTCGCGATTCTGTGGCTAATTGGCGGTAAATTCATCCATCTGCTCATCTCTTCCATCGGTTTTCACTCTGCAGCTAATTCTGACTCACTGGTTGATTAGGTGAAGAACCTAGTCTCTTGTCAGTAGCGCTCCATCTTTTCTGTTAAAATGGGCTTTTTCGCAGGCTATTTTAGCTCTTAAACTGCTGGCCCCTTTTGGCCTTTTACGTTTCCAAGCGTAAATTTATTTGTCCACCCAAGTCTCTCCAAAGTGGACGTGTCAGGAAAGTTTTTACCGAAAGGTTAAAAGTCGGCTTTTATTTAAGTTACTTTAATTGCTCCTATGGTTTTGTGGCGCCTTGCGGCAGAGTGGACACCCTTTTTTCATACATTTTCTTACAATCTGTAGTTTTTAAAACCACTACAACGGTTCCCCTTCTGACCTTCTATTCATCGTTTTAATAACAGCCGTTGAAATTGGTTTGTTTCCAGAAGTCTCTGCCTTAATTTAATGGCGCTGTTTATTCTTGTTGATTCCTGAAATTTCCTTCATTCTATTTGCGCGTATTTTCGCCTGCCTATATTCTCCTCCAAGCCTTTTTAACAATTTGGTATGATCGCCCACTCTAGCTGTTTCGATTGCCTTCCGTTTGAGCTGTGCCAAGAAAACACGTCTATGCTTTAAGTACCAGTAGGATTTCACGACTTGACTAGCCGTGGCATAAGGTGGCAGTCAGTGAGCTATTCGACATTTTGGACGTTTGTTTATTCGCCTAAAAGAATAAGCTTGTCCACAGATTCTAGCGGCGAAGGCGTCGATCGTAGAAAGAAAAATGCATGGTGAACGAAGTCTTCAGCGTAATATTTTTTTACATAGTAAGTCAGAAGCAAGAATACACTACCAAAAGAAGCAAACTTTTTAATGATTCCATTTCACTATTCTTGTATCCCTGTAGGATTTCTTCAGGTGGAATAAGTTTTCTTAAATCATAGTCGTGCAAACTGTAGAGATAGATCAATCACTCCTAGTGACAAGGATAGGTGGGTCAGACGTGGCGCCGATGAGCACCTTTTATCACTGTGCAGACTACCTTTCAAGAGCCTCTTTAATGAGTCGTGTGCTGCGACAAGATTAGAAAGCTATTTCATCAAGCAAAAGAGTGGTACTAACGATTTCCTGCTTATTGACCTTCGCTTCTCCTCTATCCACCCGTTTCTTTCTTTCTTTTCGTAAATCAGTTAATTTCAGTGAATCGATCATTTCCACTCTGTAACAGGCAAGAGTTGACTACTGTCAGTGACGAAACAGGCTGAAGTAGATCGGAAGTAATTTTGAGTTGAAGTGTTAGTGGCTAAAGCTAGGTTTTTCTACTTGGGTTCTGTTGGCAGTGCTGTAAAACAGTGGAACATGCATGTCCCGTAAGGAAAGGACGGGTAGAAAATTTAATAGTATTACAATGAGTACAATATTTCTTGGAACTTCTTGAACCTTTAAATGCTCACTCTGAAATCGCACAAAATTCTTTAGTCACCTTACAATAGCACTGAATGGCTACCATGTCGTTTACTGTGTAGCGACAAAGCAATGTCCCGATCACCATTTGTGGAATTTTGGAAATTGTATTCATTCCTATGACCCATCCTTTTTCTTCATCTCGAGCCGATTTGCGTGACATCTCGATGCCAAACCAAACAGCTTGATTTCTTTCCTCTGCGTGGATGGTTGGGCTGAACACTTACAAAAAGATTGACAAATCCTATCGCTACTTTCTTTGTAGCTTCTTGAGGCATCTCTATAGCCGCAGTCAGACATGCTAATGTAGAGGACTTCTTTTCAGCTCACATAATGGCTGGTGAGTTGCAGCTGTAGTTACCGAAATGCCAACGTAGAATTTTGTATATAAAAAAATTAGCAACTTAAGCGCGTGATGTTTAACCAAACTCCGCAATTACGCCTAATAATTTGTGGATCAATCGTAAGGTAGGTGCTGCTACGCAATTTGGTCACTTTTTCCGGTGCTTTCATCCCCTGACACCGACTGTTGAAGGTGCGGATCTGACTAGTCGATTTGTATGCACACGCACACCCACTTGTGGTTATCAAAATGGCATCATTCCAGTGTTTGCACACCCCATGTTCCGATGAGCCCGTAAATTACTCCACATCAGAGAGGCCTGGGTGGGGTGATCTTACTATGTCGCTCGTACGAGAAGAAATGATGGTATGCTTGTGCCTCGTCAAAAATAGACGTCCTGATAATGCGAAACATCCATAAAACTGATGGATGACAGAAATGATTTCATTCCGTGTGGTGCAGTCTTACTAGATAAAATTTGCTAGTGGACCTGCTCCGTCTTTCACTGTAATCTCCTTTTCCGCAAAAGTCTCTCAGCACAGAGTCGGGGAGCGAAATGTAGCTTTTACTTTTTGACAGCTCTCATCAAAATATTTTGCCATTCCGTGCTTGATTTCCTACTTTGAAAAAAGGGCTTTCTGGTATCAGTTTGCAAACGAATACGCGCCGGTAATACGAGGCACCGTTTCGCTTGATGACTCGAAGTCCCGATTGCCGATTCGAAGGTTCTCAATTGTGTCCTCCTCCACTGGCAACACTGATGCAGCCATTTTTGTCACTGGCTAGTTCTTCGTGTAATTTCTGCCTTTTCGGCTGCCTCAGTTTTGGGCGAGTCCAAATGTATTACTGTTCTACTATGGCAATAATTTGAAATTTTGAGACCAAAACCTCTCCTCTATTTTACTCTTTTCTACTCAACCAGTCTATTGGTGATGTGGTTGGATGCAATTGGTTATATTAAACATCTCTTTGGATTCCGATGGAACAAATAGGTGCTAGTAGGTTGCAACCACCTACTCATCTCAAGTACTTAAAGTTCTTTGAAAATTTATTCTTTAACAAATCTTAAACCATCACTGAATACTATTCCCTTATCATTCTCTCCTGTCTGTTGGGAATGTCCACGAACTCTGGTCTCAGTAGTTAATTTTTATTGTTTATGGGGCCGGTCTGTTTTCTTAGATTGTCAATCGGTTTTCCGTTCCAAATTTTCTTTAATTCTCGTGGGACCACTTAGCGCGGTCTAGTCACGCGACGGATGCCCCATCCTAGCACTGGTTTACTAGTCAGCCGTCTATAGTCGTTTATTATGCCCCTATGCACTGACGTACTTCTCGTGTTTATACGAACATCTGTTTATTTATGTTGATCCTTTTCCATCTGATTTCACAGAACGATAGAGGAGCATGCGATCCTAATTCGAAACGGGAGTCACCCGGTTCCTCCGATGCCTCATCAATAAGGCAGTTTTATTTTTTTTTTCTTTTTTGGACACGCTGACTCACTCCCTATACTTCCATGCATCGCTGCTAATATTTTGGCTTTATTTCGACCCTAGCTTAATATTTATTATTTTAGTACTGCCATACACCTATTCAGCATTGTTGTTACTATTTTACCATCATACAATAATGTCTTTCAATCCTCGTCTAACTCTTACTTTCTTCTGCTCCGCTACCCTTCCCCATTTGCTCGGTTTCTGAGTGACACGGTGGCCACCCTCATACTATGTTGTTTGTATATTTTCTTTGCATGCGAGGAATAAGGGAATTCGTGGCTTTTTGTAATATACAGCCCTGGTGAAAGTTCTCCTCACTTCGTGTTGTCTTCTCTTTTATTTTATGCAGGATGGAATGGGAGTGGTTGCCTCAAGCGCTCCATAATTTGTCGGTGTTATTTCACAAAGATGGTAGCAAGTCAGGTATAAATACCTTGTAAAAGGTGGGCCGCAATCGCTAAGTGTACCACTTTCTTGCAAAATTGACAAGAACGGGTAATATTTTCACGTTGAACACTTCTACTGGCTGTCACTTACTAACAGAATGACTTTTGGACTTCTTAACACATCGGTCTCTACATTAGTGGCATGGGGCCCGACTAGTGCCATCTGCGTCAGCAGCCCCTCCGTGTTCCTCTAAACAGTTGCCCCTATAATGTCCTTGGGGAATTGGGTAGGGGCTACAACTTGCGCTTAAGCATGTGATTTGACTCGAGACGCTCTTCCTGGGAAGGTGGCGAATAGTCGTAACCTTACAAGGGTTGGGTGTACAAGTACCACTGCCTTGCTGGAAGTCGAATAGCGGCAGATGCAATACTGCCTCGGGTGGGCATTGAATCGCACCGCAACACACCACATTAAATTAATTTAAATGAGTTATTGAAAACCGAATGGAATTAAGAACGGATCCAAGTGGGCATTCCTCCCCTTGATTTTTGTTGTTAGTCTCCTATAAGTGGGTGCCAAGGGGGTAGAGATATTCCCACATTTACTACCTTCCAAGCAATTGCACACGGCGCAAACAGTCAAGTTGGTGCCGAGAAGGTAACTTTGTGGCAAATGTGTACGACCTTGATCAGTGTTCTATCAATCTGGCGGTTTTTACGTCTGTTTAGGGTTTTCATTTAAAACGAATCGTGATTCAATACCCGAATTTAGTTGGGTAAGCCCGATTATGACTAGCTTCCAATCTCTCGGAAAGCTACACTGTTTCATAATTCGAAATGCGAAATGTTTTTTGCAGGCAAATAAGCGTTTGACTGGAGGGGACATATGTATAAAGGGTCTCTTCGACGGATGCCATAGATATGGAAATCTTACTGCTTATTCGAGGTTAAAAGACTGAATCCATCGCCTAAGTTGGTTTAATAGCAATCTCAGCGGTCAAATCATGCACAATGTGGTCACTTGTTGGCTCATTCACGATAACAGTGTTGACTCACACGCATATTCTTCAACACTGCCGATAGTGGGGCTGCAAAATAGTTCGTGTTAAGTGGAAGCCCGTTAGATTTAATGGTTTTAGAGCAGCCACAGCGCATTGTGGTTGGCTGGAGTGATGCAATGCCTATCTAGAGTGCCATGTGGGGTAAAGCTGGTGTAATTAAGCAGTTTTTTTCGTAAAGCACCATGGATGCTCAACTATTGCCCCTGGAAAACTAGTTAGTTAAAGATACTGCCTAGAGCTCAGCTGAGCTTACTAGGGCATAAAAAGGGCCTGGAAGAGTGTATAATTTAAATTGGGGGGGAGAAGCGGTCTCATCCATGCTAACTTGCCTATACGATTAAGAACATATTGTATATAGAGTACGAGGAGAATTCACAGTATCTAAAAGTTATTGCTCATACCGTGGCCTGGAATTGCAACTTAGGTTCAGGATTAATTACGGATACAAATGTGTATCATGTCAATGACCTAAAATCATTCAAGGTGAAACGCGGGTAGCTGCCATTCGTATTACGAACCTTTTAATGTCTGGGAACAGGACCAGAGCAGTTAGCGAATAACCAATACCTTCCTAAAGTGTGCTTTTAGTTAGGAAGCAGATATTAATTATGCTGCAGACAAGCCAATTGATTTCCAAGAAAGCATAATTAAAATGAATATTTTAGAACCTGAATGCTAAGATTTTTTGGAATTTGTATGGACAACATTGTGCATCTGCATATGAGCAAATTAAGTTGTTAATGAAATCATTTGAAATCCTTCATTTATCACACTGAAAGTGGATATCATGACCTTGAGCCTAAACGATTGAGACACGATAATGGATGATGAGCTTGGTACCGAAGTTGAAATATCCATAGCGTGCAGGTACGCCAAAAAAAACTTAATCCTAACATTATCACAAGAAATCTTGCTGATACCGACGTTCTTTCAAAGTCAGACCCAGGTAATCTTTGATGAACAGATGTCACTTCTATAGTTGTGGTCGTTTTCGAGTTCTGTCCAGCTCTTGAGGATTGGAAGGAGATTTGGAGGTCTGAAACAATCCAAAACAATTTAAATCCCAACTTTTTAAGAAAGTTGGTGCTGCAGTACCATTTTGAAGAGCAGAAGAAATTGAAATTTGCTGTGTAATTGAGATAAAACCTAAATAGCAAATCTAGATACGATGTTGACGATCCTAATGAACCCCTGCGGCATCAGGTATCTTAAGTACGCGCTTAACTTTATAAAAGGATTTTTTGGGTTCCTGTGATGCAACGCTTGGAGAAATCGTTTCAGTTGGGGAACTGGAGAGGGGTTTACAGTAAGAGACACTTTAAATATCTATTTTCTAGTGGTGGACCTTCAGGAAATAAAGGGATATTAATACGTACGGTCTAATTTTATTATAACTGTATTATTCATAGTCATTGCTGAGGAAACAGTCACATGCAATGTAGGCTTGTTTTCGTGAACGCATCTCCTTAGGATGAAATCACCCTCAACATTAGTGCCAAAAATCTGGACAAGAAAGACATTATTGGCCTTTCGGACCCTTTCCTTGCCTTTTATCGTCTGCACGAAAATGGAAGGTATGTTATTGATTTGTTAAAACACATCTATTTAAGTGTCCACTAGCATTATCAAGACCTGTCCCTAGTTAACAGAATATTTAGAATAATTTTCCTGCTAAAAATGGAAATACTCATTTACGACTTACATTCATTTAAAAAGCTTGCTGGACTCTTGACCAACCATTGCAGTTTTGAATTTGGTGTGACAATGCTCTCCGTTTGACTTTTAGTGTCACAGTTGCTCATCGAACGGAAGTTATTAAGAACACTTTAAACCCCTCTTGGGGTACCATGATATTACCGGTTCGACTCCTTTGCAATGGAGACCTTAATCGGTATGTTACATTCTCCACATTCCATTGCATTCATTGTATTCTCCATCCTTTCTCTTAATCTCTATTCTCGAGATTGGGTCGGTTGCTTTTTAAGTGGAATTTCTTCAATATTTTGACAGAAAATTCTAAATTTTACTAGTTTGCAGTAGTTATACATCACCAAAACTCGCTCTGTTCCATAATAAAATCAATTCAATTTGTAGAAGCTTATAAGAATTCATGAGTTCTCCCAAAATAAACTAGACATAAGGACTAAACCTCACATCTTACGAAGAGGACTGAATTGGAATGGCAATTTAGTCCTTTGAAGACCTAAGTGCCTCATGAGGTCAAAATTTGTGTTTCCAAATGAGCTGTCGAAAGAACAAAAGCGTCCATGTCTCATTTCAATGCTGCGAAGTAGTACCTTAACTTTTAAAATATGAGCAGCCCAATCAGTTCAACATGACGGCTAAAAACCTCGACTTTAATAACTTTTGCTAGTGTCCCGTTCTATGAACCGATTTGACCCTTCACTGGGTGCTTGCATGTGCAAGTGTTAAGGTCATCTCGTCACCTTAACTGTCAGTTTATTGGCCACCGGTAGATTGCTCCTATTTTCGTGTGGGTAAAATGCATAAACGCACAGGCAGTGGAGAAGACAACCACCTATGCAACAATGAAAGGAGAAGACGAAAACTTGTGTGGTGAACCGATAGCGCCATGCTTATTTGTAAAATGCCACATCGGTCAGTCTCGGGTTTAGTCATCACTGTATACATGTGTGCATTACTAAGTAGTAAATAATTCAGCGATTCAGGTCATGTCCCATCTCGTGGTAGGGTGTGCAGCCATTGGGGATGATTTATTATTATCAACTTGCATCAGGACTGGGAGTTTGAACGACAAGGTCACCATATGTAAATTTAGGCTATAACCTGTACATATGGTTCCATTTGAGCAGGTATGGGATGTAATTAGACGGGCTACAATGTATGCTATGTGGTATTTAGTCTTAGAAGAATGAGGTGGTTTATGGTTTTCCGATAGATAAAAATGTTCTGAGTCACGTAATGGAAAAACCAATCCAAGCAATTTCATGGAAGAATTCCTGCTAGGCGAATTAATCACTGGAACAAAACAAGACCTGAATGCTTTGAAATAAACATCTAAGTGTGGGTATTGCTGCTCTATGAATTTTTACTACTTTTCCTTACAAATGCACAAATAACTATTAGTTATTTCCACTTACATGATGGACACATAAAGAACAAAAGTAAGAATATTTCTGCTAGAGCGGAGCCCATTTCAAGTTATAATTTGATTCCATGAAAAAGACAAGACAAACGACAAATTGACATAATTTATCTGGAGTTATTTTACATCTGAGGTCTATGTTTTACTGCCACAGAATGGCGAAGTCTTGCCTTCTCCCAAACTTTTTAACTGTAATAACTGCTTCAAAAAACACCCACACTGACTTCAGGGATTGGTAAGTGACCACCAATTTGGTTAATATGTAATGAGGACGGGGATTGCGAATTGTATCTCGTGTGGGATTTGTGTCGCGCAAGCGTAAACTCGCATTCAGTACCCAAAATATTGTGATGCTCAAGCTACTCTGTGGCGTTTAATACGTGGATTAGCCGGTTTTCGTCCACTTAGCAGGGCAAGAGTTATTTTAAAACCTTGCCTTTTCTTGCCTATTATCTTCATCAGCGCAGTCCCTTAATTAAAAACTTGAAAAGGTGTTCAAAGACTTTTGATCTCGCTAGTGCGCATTTAGGGGCTATGAAGGGGTGGCATTTTTCTGCTGTGACGTCAGGCAACATTTGCAAGATTCGGGCTTAAACTGTGCCCATAAATTCCGTGACAATGTATCACCGAGTCGCTGATCATACTTCCTCGAATCCAACTTCAGAGTTAAATGGGACTGGGCTACTTACTTACCCAATGTTCCGTTACTTGAAATTGGTTATTCGCCATCTACATTGTCTATTTTTACTCCCTTTGATATCGTCTCTTCGGAAACAGCTCGTGATTTTTTCCTCGAGGAGAAGGATCACTGGTCTCTTTTTTCTTTTCCGTAGCGGTTTGCGAGTTCTTGTTCTGTCTTACAAGAGACCGAGTAGTTTACGAACTGTTTAAAACAGCTGCTTTTGCATTCTGGAGAGCAAATTAGCACTACGCGAAAAGGAGACAATTGTTTAAACGTATCCATCTTCAAATATTTTAAATAGAATGACTAGGGGATAGATACCGCTTCTTTTGTTTTGGTAAGGCAAAGATTCACATTCAGGCCTCTTGAAAAAGTGGCTCTTTTTACTCGCGGTGTCATCTCTCTATGCTACTGGAAGCAAAGCAAGATTTTAAAATTCAGTTTGTTTGGAGTTATTTTGGTTAGCTCATCATTGTGTTGGTATACCTGTATCTTGATTAATCAGAGGTTAAAATAAGCCTCTATTCCAGTAAGTGAATGACCCCGATATCAAGATACACTTTGATGATGTATTCATCCAGTCCCAGCTCCCTCAACTTATCCACATAAAAGGGGGATCTCCCCTCCTCTTCATACTTGCACCTTAAGAGTGTTATCTTTGTCTGGTCAAAGATGTTTACGGCCCTAATGTACCGAATTTTTCTTACTTCCTGCACACAACAGACATTTTTTTTCACCGACCTTATTCCCCCTCTTTCCTATGCCATTACGGATATTGCTTGTGTGGATGCGGCCACTTACGCGTGGTTGAACTTCAACAGGTTTGAGTTTTTAAAAAATGAACCAAGTTACCGAAACTACCGCAAATTTAAGCCGCTTGGTGGTTTTAGAATATCCCTTAGTGATTTACCTACCCTATTTGCTGAGGAAACAAACCAAAGTTACACAGAAGACCGTATAAAGTGTTGCCCACTGAAACAGCGCTTATTGTTGGAGTACAGCGGAACCTCCTTTATATTTTTAAAAGCACTGCACGCAAATGAATTTTTTTGAAGCATGCCTAAAACAAATTTTTGCGGTAAAAGTATTTTTGCACTGAAGGAATCTTCCAACCGCTATAGGTCAGTCTCAATGAAACGGTTTCTTACCTCGATGGAGAAAACACTATAATGCAGATGCGTAGTTTAGATACCCTCCAATCACTTTGATTCGTACTATTGGTGGTGTGTTAGGAGACGGAGTAGTAGGGAGCTGGTCTGTCTTGAAAGCTCAAATAAATTATCATTTCCACATGCTCAAGTTAAGTGCAACTAATGCCGTAAATGAATCAAGGCGCGCCTTTTTGCTTATTGAAATGTATACCTCTGCCTTTCTACTCTCCACGTGACTCACGACGGCGCTAAGATAATTAAAGTATTCGTTTTAACACGGAAATGCGTTCCACTGGAAGCACAGGGAGAATTTGATAATTCGTCCTTTAAAAGGTGTTAAAATAGTGCCCTTTGCGCAAGTGTGAACTATCCGACGAGCGATATAGGGGTCCGCACTTTCCGCAATGCGGCTGTAATAACCGCATCTCTCAACTTAGTTCCCTAACCACTTTTGCAGTTTAACCTGAGACTCGGTGAAGGCTCCGTCAATTTGGACAGCCGGCTACATAGGATGAAAATACGTGGGAAATACGCCCGCAGAACAGACCGAGCCTTGCCTGGCCGCGAGGTGAGAAGTGAACAACAAATGATGATGGGAGGTTTTATCTAATGCCGGGCGATTTTTCAACTTCTAATGCTCTTGTCTACATTCAAACGCCGTATGTACGAACCGCTACTCTCAGGAATCGTCCCCATGGGATCACAATTTTTTGTGCGATGTTGATTAGGTTATACGCGGAGGTTGGGTCCATTTGTTACAGAAATGGGGTGTAATTCATTCTACATATATACATATTCTACATTTTGTCATGTTAAATGTCATGAGACCCCGTCATCAGGCGCTTCCACTTCCCACTGAATTGTTTCGTTTCATTTTCATCTTTTTTAACAATCACAAATCCTTTTCTATTGCAATGTAGAGTTCCGAAAAGTTGATCCAACTTCCTCTCAGAAGCAGAAATTGCTTTAAAATATCACCTGTTATTTTGAACTCTCAAATAAGTTTACGTGAATGATAGCGTCAAACGTTGGAAGTGCTACTTTGGCCACCGACTGTTGGAACTTTAACTGGACTTTTAAATTTCGACCATTAACCGTTTCCGTTTATTTACGCAGCTACACTTACTGCGACGCACTTGAATTTGTGCATTACGAGCACACAAACACAACAAAATTGTTCAGTGGCACAGCTTATGGACGTAAATAGCTACAAATCTACTAGCAATGGCTCCTGTTTTCTGGCCACAAGTGGTCAGAATACCCGACAATTTCAATATCCTTATTTCGCCTCAATTAGTTCACATTGAACACCGAAGTCATTTTCGGGGACTAAATGAAACTACTAAAGTGTGTTTTCCGAGTAAAAGCAGAAGATGCTTTTTATTCGCTGGCAGACATGGTTTTTGAAACTTTTGTTGAGATACGTGTGGAAGCAAAAAGCTGAGGGAGCCTAAGAAGGTCTGTAATTTTTAGCCCTCTTCCTCACATCAAAGATTAACCGAGGTTGCCCCCTTAAATTTGAATCCACTGCAAAATAAATAGTTCCAATGCTCTTTTGAACCACTGCTATGAGCCAAAAGAAGGAGAATTGAGCAATTTCAAGGCAATAAAAAAGAATTGGATTCTGAGTCTGTTTCTTGAAATACCTTTACTAGTAGTACCTTGGCATGAAGAACGTTGTCAGTCGAAATAAAATAGAGGAGAGAATTGTGTTTAAAGAAATTCCTTTAGTTCTTTGTTCTGTCTTTGTTATTTTGCCGACAGAGAGACTTAATCCATTCAAATCATTAAACTGTAAAATCACTTACTAACCAAACACCACCTAATATGCCCCAAAGTATGGATTCAGTATGGGAATGCATAAATAGTTGAGAGTGGCCGCCTTCAAATTCAACGTAATGATCGACAATCCTGCTTTTATTCTAACTTTGCTTTGGGTGTCCTGTTAGGACTTCGCTTGAGATACCCTTGACCACTAGGCAGAATGGCTTAAGCTCAACACCGCATCTGAGCCTAAGCAAATGAATTTAAAGTTCCGGGTTGGAAGTTCTATCGCTTATTCTTTAAAAGGCGTACACACACACCTTTACCATCTTTCTTTTGGATTATTACGAGGCAGGGAGATTAAGCTGGCTATTTTTCGGCTTATTAATTTAAATTACTCCTTTTGATTCTTCAGCTACACTCAGAGGCTATGGACGTAGATATATGCCAAGAATATTTGATAATGCTTCATTTGGGATGCAATAATGCGGTGGTATTTAAGTTCCCCGGAGAGCTCTCGCATGTCTATCTATCGCCCCGCGGATTAAGGCACATGCTATTCTACAACAAGAGATATTTCTAACTTATTTCCTTTATTATATTTCAGTAACTAACCCGTAGTTCAGTCCCAGCTTGATAATTACCGAAATGAGAGCGATAACTCAGCCAGCTTCAAGCAAGCTTTTTCATGCCCAAGACTGATACGAAAACAGCCCACTTAATTAAGGGTTTAGACAGTATAAATCGGCTAAATTTTTGGTGCGATTATTGCAACAATAAATGTAGCAGAGCTGTTGTGATTACTCACTCAAGCATATCATCTAGTTTGCGCTCCAGTCACGTATTTCCAATAGGAAATGTGAGTGCTAATTTCTCGTCCTCCCGTCAATGAAATGCTTTTTTAGTTGCCACTTATTTAATTTGCTTACATTGTGGTTCCATGCTGTTGTCCTATATCGCTCTAGTCTGATCTGCCGACGCAGAAAGAATGAGGTGTTAGAGTCCGAATCTTTATTTATTTTCAAATGCAAAGAAGGATTAATGGGCTGCTGGTGGAAGCTCCATCAACAGAACTCCATAACACCAAGGCTGAGGAGCTCGTGTAGATAGGGGGGACAAGTAAGACGAATGTGTTTCTGTTGCATTTGAGGATGAAACCTAAGGAAAGGTTCTGTTTACGCGGCGAATAAGCAAACAACACAATCTGTGGGCGGCAAATTTTGTGTTGCACTCAGCGTTGAATTACGGTTTCTATTCTTTCCTCCTCTTTCATGCCTCGGCATGGATTTCAGATGCTATTAACCGCTCTAGGATAAAAAGTGTACACTGATGTGAGCCCCGTTAATATCAGTAAAATATTGCACAGAACCAATTCAATTGTCTAGATCTCACTAAAAACATCTTTTGCAATTAGCTTTCTTTGTTCTTCGAATGAGTTCGACGTTTAAAACTATTTTTTGACCAATAGCATTCTACATTTTGTTGATAATGCAGAAAACTTTTTCCAAAGGATTGGACATCTTTGTCAACAAAACTTCAGTCATTACCTTTTGGTTAGGATTTTTGTTATGCTCTCTTTAAATTGGCTGCAATGAAGACTAGAATAAGTTTTGTTATTAAAAATGAACTTGGAAGAATCTAAAAACCGTAGATTGCCATTCCCGTATGATGCATTTAAAGTAACCTGGTTGTTCGATATATATTTTTAGTAGGTAAAACGCTGTATGGAGCTTTCATTGTCTTAGCCCAACTAACAAGGTTCAATTTATGTGAACCAAAAAACTATCCAGTACAGAGGTTGTTGGGTCACGCCTTGCTGTGGTGTTGGACGCAGCTGTGTCGTTGGAAATTGGCCACTGGCCAGGGAAGGTGGCTCCACGAAAAGGGTGTCTTATTGCATCAAAAAATAGTTTTAGGGGAAAAAGAGATCGCAGAGACCCAGAAACATTATATGTTGTGAAGTGGAAGTGGAAAACTAACAAATGCGGATCTGAGTGTTTTTGTGCTGACAGCTTCGATGCTAAAGCTGGGTCGAAATTATCTGTTTAAGGCAGCCGGCACACCCATTCGCACACAAAAGTGTCTCGCAAGTCCTATGCTGAATTTCCAAGTTTCCTCCAATCACTGATTCAAACCATAATTTAAAAATTCCAATTTGAGCGCAGTAAAGTGAAGTTTGGATTTTGTTTCATGCCATTTTCCGCCTTTCTAAGGTTCTGGTTCATTTATGTCGAATTTTACCGTTTTTCCACGTTCGACTTTACTGGGTTGTTCATAGTCACTCACAAATACTGAAATTTGGAGCCGAGTTTTCGACTCAAGACTTTATTATACGGACTACATTAGTTGTGATTTAACCAGAAAGATAGTGAAAGAAGGTTTCACATATTCTTTAGCACTTGGGATCATTTCTGAAGGTGCAGTAAGGCCCACCAGTATACCTGCAGATGGGAATGGAATCCATGACGCCGTGATGTTGAAGTAAGCGTGGATGCTGGACAGGTCGCGAAATCTAGACACTTATCATTTGTCTTCATATTGGGCTTCTTTAGAGTAGTCTCTGGCATCTTCCTTAGTCATTTCTGCTTCATCCCAGATGAGATTTCCTGCGGTTTCTAGCCAATTGCTAGAAATTGTTAAGGGTAGTATGATAAAGCAGCATCACAGGAAAAATTCTATTCACTTCGTTATTGATATATCATGTTGTAGATATATGGATGGGACTCTTGGGTATAGCGTCCTCTTTATGCGAAATTATACCACGGGGAATTTATGCAGGAAGCACCTTTAAAGGATGGACGGTCTTTTCCCAAAGGACATTGGCTTTTCGTGGTAATGTTTGCCCTGGAGAGAAATGAAGAGATGAATGCCATGTAAACATTGTCATGACCATAGCAAATCATGGAACAGTTTATTATTAGACTTTTTCAAATTGTCCAAATCTGGTCTCACTTCGTTGTAAAATATTGTGGGTAACACGCGATTTGAGTGATAGCTTTATCAGTCCCTCTCTTGTGGGTCTCTCTGGTATTCTTTCTGTGACGTTTAGGTCAGATATTCAGCCAATAACGTCAGGACTAATGCTGGTTTGAGTTTGGATGAATGAGTGAGCGGGGCGCCAATCTTGACTGCTGATTAAATGAGTAAACCTCTACTTGGCTCTTGACATTTGAGTGGGTTATGATGAATCATAGGGTCGTTTTTTCCTAGCTTAAAAGATGCCAAACATCCCTCTTCAGGCTTGTTTGTCCCTAATCTGAGTTAGAAGCCCCGTAGCTAGCTTTGATTGCTTAATCACCCCTCCGTTTTGCAAGTAAACAGTTAGAACGCATCTTTGGAAGAACGATAACAATAACAACAACAAAGTAGCTAGCCGATGTTAGCATAATTTGACAGTCACAACAACCAATTTATGGATTTTGGAGCGGTAAACTGCAGTCCGAAGATTAGATTTAGGATGGTGTTAGTATGCAGTATTGTCGCCTCCGGTTAAACCCACCTCAGCAATTGACCATTGACAACGCCCTTTCCAACACATTTGCACTTTTTTCTGGATCTAAATGTCAAGACAATTTCATGTCACAAAGCGGCTCAAAACGACTGGTTCGCACTCCGCTTATTTTCATACCTAAGTAAGAAATTCTTGCTTATGAAGAGGCAGAATTGCTCCAAAGACAGCCTGGCACATTCAGAGTGGTCAGTCCGTTTCAGCTGAAATCATCACATCCTGTTGGTTTAGGCTTATTTCTTATAGATCAGACCTCTCCCTTTTAAGGAATATCAAGCATACACAGACTGAGTTATTATTTTAACTTCTTTTGAATGTTATTTTGCCAATGGGGCTATTGTGCTGGTCGAAACCCCAAAACATTCACTTGAAACGTCGTTTTACATTCGAATTCTACTAAAAAACTCCATTAGCTTCACTGTTGTAATACGATTGGAGCGCTCGAGTCCTCCCTAAAGATATGCAAGTCAGAATAAAACCCTTCTCCAAATGTGTACAGACTAACTGGTAGGTTATCGGGAGAAATAATCCGAACAGAACTACATGACAATAAGATGGTGATTTAAGCCTGAGGGGACTGGGGAGCTTGGGCAGTTAAATACATAACTTAAGCAGATATTTTTCCGCCTCATGGCTATTGCTTTGAAACAACCATTTTATCCACGTGAATGCTGTCTTAGTTCCGGTTTTACCCCCTAATCCGCTGCATTTCGCCTCCAAATACCGGTCGAAGGCGACTAAAATCACATGGTCCAGCTTGCATTAATATTAATAATGGAGAGATGTATGTAGCAGAAAGCATTAGCTTTTAGGGCGAAATCGTCCCAAGAAAAGTGTAGTCGGGATGATCAGCTAATTTCGATCAAGTCCTAACTCATAAAGCATGGTGCCTGTGATGAATAGACAAATAAATAAGGTAGTCATGAGAAACAGAAAGCCGGATTTCTCTTAGATTATCATTCTACGAAGCATGGGTACTGAAATTCCTTGTTTAGAGAGTATATATTGCAGAAAAACATTTACCTTTTTTCTGATGGTGCCGAATCCATGGGAATACATTGGAATTAGCCACGGCTTTGCGTGAAGCTACACCTACCGGAGACCATTGTGAACGTTTTAAGGGAATTTTTTGGAGGTACATAAAAGTATCTGTATTTGTGTACCAGGGAAACCGCCACCTTTATTGCGATAATGGACCCAGTGTCGGAAATAAATATCTAGGCGGTCGCTTAGACGGCCATCTGCTGCCTACTTAATGTCTTTTACTCTTTTTTTTTCAAGTGATCCGGTTGAGAAGTTTTTTTTCAAACCCCGTAACACTGTCTGTAGTCACAATCCTCAGATAAATACCATTATTTTCGAGGTTTTCATTCAACTTATAGATAAACTGATGTGAGAGAACTCCGCCCTCATTCAGCGTGTGTATGCTGACAGGGGGAAAACTTTGTGTCTGTACATATACAAGCATCCCCTGACCTCAATAAACAACCTTTCTTCTCCTTTGGTGCAAGAGGTTTATTAAGCGAATCTACCACAAAATGGGATTTCCGACTTCGAGGGAAATAATCGCATGTCGCCTTACCAATAACTTCTTCATTTCAAGTCTGCCTTAATCTTAGAGTTTGAAGTAAAAAGTTAGGCCTCTTGCAGGCTGATTGTGCAAGGTGTAGTTAATATTTGTCAACTTCCCAACTCCTTTCCACTCCGTCTACTCAACTAGAAAAGGTTTTTTCTTCAAATGTTTTTTCGCCTTTGGGTGAAAAATTTTAACAACACTGACATGGAGTGAGCTCTTCAAAAAACACAGCTCACATTGTCTATTGCATGTCAATGACAGTCTGTTAGGCGATGTGGCGAATTACTGAAGTTTCCTTCCGATAAGTTGCTCTGTAATTTCCAGTAAATCATTTCAACAAGGATGAAGTTTAAAGTCCAGAACCTTGGATGTGGAATTTATGATTTACACAAGATTCGCAATCGTGGTACTGCAAGTCAGACCTTAGGTCGACCAGTTTAGCATCAGCTTGCCAAAGGGCTGCAAGGTCGAGTCGCCAAGACGGGACTACGACCTGCAGAGGTTGAAGAGCCCGCGTGGCTAAGTGTATATCATCCCTGTGCATTTACCAATCGCTTAAAAGTAAATTATTCTCCTTCTATGTGATCCCCCAATCTGGTAGTTAGCACTGGAAGTTAAGCAGGAGAGCCTTTGAAAAAAACTTGCCAACAATTTACCACGTAACTTAAAATATCCTCACTTGTCTGTGTGCAATTAATGAAACGCATTTATCTCTGAGTAACTTAGTTAAAAAGAACGCAGTATCGGAATAATTCTTAAATAGGTTAATGAATTCACCTGGAATCCTCTTCACTCCTTCTAAGGCACATTTTGCAGCAATCTCTGTCATTGGATGGACCTACATTTTCACCTTCCCGCCACCACGAATGACTCAAAATCAGAGCCATTTATGGCTGGCCCACCAGAGCTACTGCATTTTGAGGTTTGTTTTATCAGCGTGAAGGAATTTGTAGAAGATATTATTCTCCATCAATTCTAGCACAAGTAAAAAAAAACTGTAAATCAAGCTTCAAACACATAGGTCGTGAATCATACTGTCATTGCGGTGGAGAATCAGTCAGGTTATCGGTCCCGATCTTCCACGAACACACACAGGAATTCAAATTCTTGAAAGCCGTGCCTCATGATAGTGAAGTAAATCGAAGGAAAACAACTTTTTCCTTCAGCCATGAAAAGTTATGTACACCACAGGGGCCTAAGGAAATGGGTTGTGGTGACGATGCCGCGAAAAATTCGTGGACTTTTCGAAGCTTTTGACTTTTTCTCTTTTTCATTTGAAAGATAAAGAATTATCTGGCCAAAATACTAGACATATTAAGACTCTAAATGTTCACAAAGAGATGGACTCAAAGATATGGGTCAACTTTTTCCATTACACAAATAAATTATAATTTGAGTGCAAAATAAGCTTCAGTAATGGTAGAAATACCAGTTTTGCATATGTGGACATCTCAAACACTCCAGATTTTTTATATCTTTAGCTGAATTCCACTTCGAATTAATAAACTACGGCGATATTTTTATGAATTCAGTATGTTCCAAATATCACCAACCATTTCCTGTTTGTAATCTCGCACTTCGAGAACGATGAATACCCTCGGCCGAATTACCTTCACTGATAGATTGTGTTTGTGTGCGAGTTTTTGCTGCAAATACGGACTTCTCTTGTCCTTTTAATTTGCTGCCTGTTAACTTCTTGCATGATAGAGATGATCGGCCTGGTTTGGGAGCCACTGTGACCGATTCATCCACCTCCTTACCCTCGAAGCCATCAAGACCTATCAATATGATACGTGACGCAAAATGCCTTATTCTCAAAACTCAGCTTTTCCCATTAAAGAAAAGAGAATTATTTCATCAAGGTGACAGAAGTGAAAGTTTGTTGATCTTCCTTACGTGTACACGCTTTCTTGGTGGAAAAAACATCCCTGAACACATAAAAGCTTAGTATAGCCTGTAGGCAAGGCGGTGTGCATAAAAATCACATTTTCTTACCTTTCGTGTGCCTGCCTCTGTAAATTTAATCCACCAACCCGTTGTTTATAGACAGTACGGCTGTACCTCAATGGTGCCAAGCTTTGGTTTGAGATTCTGCTACAAGCTCCATGAAGTTGTGAACATGCAGCTACCCTACTTTGTGTCAAAAATGACAAAGGAATCAGATCATCTTTAAACTTATAGGAAATTGAAGAATTGTGCTTAAGCCCAGTAGATTCTAGGACCAAGAGATGTTTTTAGTTGTTTATCATATTTATCGAAGAGATTAAACTGGACGGACTCCAGATGGTGCCAACAATGCCAATGAGGAGTGGGATTAATAAATTAGGTCATTGCAAGTGCATTTCATTTTTAAAATATACAAAATGAGGAACGCGAATGCTTGATTGTCTAGCTGGCGATTAGAATGTACCGGCCTTACTGAACATCCAGAAAGTTCAATGTCTAAGGTTGTAAAGCGAAATTCGAACTTTAACATGTAATCTTAGCCTTGACAGTGCATAGCTTTCATGGATATTAAAAGTTCTTGGAATTTATTTCAAATACTTGCCCATTGAAGATATGCCTCCGAGTATTGGGGTGGTGTGACCTTTGAAAAAATTACAGTGTAACGAAACGGGCGCGAAGTAATTTTATGGTCCCGATGAGAGGGTGCGGTCGCCACTTCCCTCAACCATGGGTATGATTACAGGAAGCATAAACATACCTTTAAAAATTTTAAGTGAAGTACCTTTTCACGATTTGTAAGAATTTAAACACCTTAACTTAGGTGAATGCGACTTTCGGTAGCCTCATTGATAAACCGTGAATAGATTTTATTCTCTTTGGCCATTTTATGCGCCACATTTGTAACTTTATACAAATTTAATTTAAAAATCATTTTAAAGAGCAAGCGATGAATGAAATATTTGTCCTCCATGTAGGAATCGCATAAAAATGCGAGAAAGGTTACAACGCTAATGTCGGTCAAACGCGTGGTCCAGTGAATTTTAAATGATTGACAGCATCCAAGGTGATTTTGAAATTTGAATAAAATTGCTATTAGAAGGTGAGAGGGAGTGACCGCTCCCTAACTGCAGGAAGGGAAGGCAGGTTATTACGTGACAACCCCTACACGACCACACAGCAGTGATATCCACCCGAGCAAAAGGCAAAACTTGAAACTGGACTGCTTTATTTTTTCTTGCCGAATTAAAAAGCCAGTAAAGGTGCTTATTACGAGGCAAAAAATTCTGAATCTAAGATGCTCGTGGGTTTGGGCGGATCCAATGTGTATCTCACCGGAGTCGGGAAAAGGTAACTCAACCGAGGCCGCCTAGTGACAGGGGAGATGTGGATGCAAACTGATATATTGGATGTGCATTATAATATCTTGCTCAGGTTACAGTTAAATTAAGAGATTTCTTTTTAGTTCTTTAAGGCACTCAAAGTATAACTTCTTTGACAATGTGGAGGGAGACGACAATACTGTGTTCTCAAATTTAGGTGAAACTCTTTCACGTCTATTTCTGTCTTTTTAAGTGGTCATCTTCCTAATCACTTTTCAGGTTTTGAAAAGACTGGTGGGTTACGAAAATCCTAATCATTTGTAGTCGTAATTTTCTGACTCTGGTGGAAACAGAGGACAATCGCATTTGCCATAAAGAAGATGGCTTGCAAAACATTACTCCAATCTATCAGCCTTATTAGGTAGTTTAGTCGAAGCATTTGTGCAACAAAGTTAGATTTTCAGCTGCCTTAATTTGTAGAAAAGTACCAACCAATGGAAACACAAATACGCGGCTTCAAGGGCATGACCTTTGTGCTTCACTTTGTTCAAACTGGCATTAACATAAGCGCACCTGGCAAATGCAAAATATGTTCTCACGGAGGGGAAAAATTCACTTTTCCCTGGGAATCATCACGCACCTCACTAAAATGCCAAATCAAGTAACTAAAAACGGAAACAAGACAGTTTTAGGAATGGAATTCCCGTCTCCGTTGCTACTTTCATAATGAGGAATTAATTTTTTAGTATGTAACTGTTTGAAGGGGATTTCAAGCGCATGGTTTTTTTCTCGTGAAGCAAGTTCAGGATTTACCAACGCTGCCAGTTTTTTCATAGGCGCTTCTATCCAAAAAACACTCTTGAGATTCAGCAAGACTTGTTTGACCCAAAGTTAAGCTTTTCATGCACAAATTTTTAGGTAGAACTTGTCATCGTATCCATTTGTTTTGCCTTTCAGGATGATTATCATTCAATGCATTGACTGGAACCGGAGCGGAAGGTGAGTTCGCAGTCGTCTACTAAGTGAACCACTAGAAGTAGAATTGACCGAGGCTTTGCAGTGGATAGAGACCACTTGCCTAATCAACTCTTCCCATTCATGTTCATAAACTTTATTGCTCATTGACAATGAATTGACTCTTTGCTACAAAATCGGTGCAGTTTATTAGCCACTAAACTGAACGAAAGCCACATCTATCGCAGCCCTTTAGTCGGATTTGGAAATAGGGAAATTTTTATGCACTCTCATGGTTTATTACTGATTGTGGCGAAATAAACTATTCATTACCATCATTTGTTAGTTTCATTAATAACTAATAAGATAAGGTTGGATATTAGAGCCAAAATAAACATTTCCCTGCATTATGGAGAACTTAAGCATGTCACTGAACATTTCGAGAGAGCTTAAAATTCCAACTCATATCCGTGTTTAAAAACGGCAAGTAATGCAAAGCAATCGGCATTTCGGCTGGTAGGTGCGCTCGAACATTACCCAAATAAAAGTGGAACTAAGCACCGAAGCTCATCTGCCACTCCGTTCGCCAGCTGCAGGCCGGTAAATGTTTATGTGCTCTAGCTCCTAATCCAGTCCATACGCCTCCGCTCTCTCTTTTTCAACGCGCCTAAATTTAGGCGAAGACGGAAGTATTATGTGATTAGATTAGTCTAGCTAATAAGTACCCATACGGGACGAAAAATTGGTTGTACAAAGGCGCCTCGGGTCATCCCTTGAGACGTGAGAAATCAAACCAGGTGGTCAATTGCCTGTACCACCAAGATGCTGGCAGAAACTATGGTGGCTGGAGTGCCCATTTAATTAAGTGTGCGTTTAAATAAATATCCTTTTGCCACATGGTTTCCGCATGGTTTGGACGTTGATTCTGGCGTTGTCATAATCACTTTTCTACTTCTTGTAAATTTTAACCAGCACGACGACGATGTGGGACCTTTGCATGCTAAGAAGAGTGCTGTTGACTTGTTTAGGCTTCCCGAGCATCGTGTCAGAGTCGGTTGTGGTTGTATCGTCGAACTCAAATCAACACAAATTTTGGAATCACTAATTAGTTTTAGGTCTTGTCAAGAGCTAATATCGCTCTAATCCTTCTGCAGTAAGTCTCCAGAGTTTTAGCCATCCTTCAACTCCAACTCTGTTCAGCATCTTGCTAGTAAATTAAGACAGAATGAGTTCGCTTTCCCCTGCCTCCAATGTAGGGTTTCGGGCTTCCCTTAAGGAAGTTCTGGGACATACCGCTATGGAACAAACACTTATTATTGGTCGTAATGCAAGTTTTTTCTCGTTTAAAACAATATTAATACCTCGTCGGCAAATTTATTCTCAATGGCAAGTTTACACGCCCTTCTATAGAAGTCAAAGCACGCATCAATTGACCTAACCCATAACCTCGAAAAACTGGACTATGATTTTATTTGAATGCCTTGTTTCAGAGAAGCTCTCATCGGCGAAACCCGGGCAACGATAAACCAGCTCATTCAAATGCGCTCCGCCCAACCCATCTCCCTTCCGGTAGGTTCTTTATTTCCTTTATGTGTGCTCTACTGAAGTCTGCCAACGGGGCACCGGTTGCTATGATTTGTGCTTCGCATAAATGGCCTTCAGACTTCTTGGTTTGGCTATGGCCGTGAGACAAGTGTATGGACTATTGCTGCTGCTATTATGCAGGCGGAAATCAAAAGCTGTTT